TTGTGTATGTGTGGTAACATTTAAAACAGATTTTACTAAAATGCAGAAAAATACTTAATTTGTACATATACAACAGCTAAATTATCACGTATCCATATAATCACATATCCTTAATATATGAACACATCCATATAATCAGGCAAGAAAAAGTACTGCCAGCATTCCTGATACCCTTTCTCGCCTCTTTCAACTGACAAGCCCTTCCCCTCCCCGTAGGTGACCAATATTCTGACTGACAATATGGCTTGGGGTTTTTGTTTCTTACCCCATACAAGTGGAACCATACAGTATATGTTCTTTTGTATCTGTCTTAATTTTCCCTAATGTTTTTGTGAAATGGATGCGTATCGTTTTGAGTATCTCTAGCTAGTACATTTTATTGTGTTCCCTTGTTTTGAATATCCACAGTTTGTTTAAGCACTTTGTGTTGATGGGCAGACATTTTGACTTTTCAGCTTGGGACTATTATGAATAATGCGATGAGCATATTTTAATATTTCTGATAGTTCACAGTGTATGTATTTCTCTTGGGTGTGTACCCTGTATTGAAATTGCTGGTCATATGGGATGCATATGTTCACTTTTCATAGATGATGCCAATTTCCAAAGTGGTTGTGCAAATTTGCTTTCCAAGAAGCTATTGAATTACCTGCCTTTTTCTTATTATGTATTCCAGATGTGAGCCCTGTGGTTGGATATATTTTACAAATATTTTCTCCAACTTTGTGGCTTGTCTCTTCAATGTTTTAACTGGTATTTTTTTTATGAAATGAATTAATTTTAATGTCATCTAATCTTTATGGACAGTGCTATTCTGTTCCTGAGTATTTGCCCACCCCTAAGGCAAGAAGATATTCTACATTTTTTTCTACAAATCCTGTTGTTTCAATATTTCTAAATGTACAGTTCACCTAGAATTGATTTTTGTGTATTTACAAGTCCTGTTGTTTCAATATGTACATTTAGATCTACAGTTCACCTAGAATTGATTTTTGTGTATTTTTCCCACATTGACCCAGATCATTTATTTTAAAAGTACATCTTTACCCCAAGTTCATCTCCTTTTGAGATACCACATTTGTCATATACTGAGTTTTATGTGTTTTTAGCCTAATTCTGAACTTTATTTTTTTTGCCACAATGTTTAAATTATAAGAAGCTTTATAATAAGTTTTAATGTCTATGTGATCTGGTTTCCCCCTCACGGTTTTTCTTTTTCAGTGTTTCCCTAGGTATTCTTGCCCTTTTGTATATTCACTTTCCTATTGTCCAACTCCATAAAATTAGCTTGTTGGTATTTTTATTGGCATTGCCTTGAATTTATAAGTTCACTTGGAGAGAACTAACATCTCTATATTGTTAAATCGTCTTATCCAAGAACAAGGGGATGTCTTTTCATTTAAGTCTACTTTAGTGTTTGTCAGGATGTTTAAAAATTTTCCTTGTACAAGCTTTCCTTATAACAAATTTTTGTTGTTTCCCCTAAATATTTAATTCTTTATTTAAATGAGATTTTTCTATACCATTATGACTTTATAGTTTCTGTATATGAAAGCTACTGATTTTGTATCTTAATTTTATAACTTGCTATTTGACTGAATTCTTTTACTTTTTAAGTTTTATTATTGCTTTTTTGGAGTTTTCCAGGCATAATACTGTGTCATCTAAATTATGATAGCTTTACTTGTTTACCAATTCTTATGCCTCTTTTTGTTTGTCTAATTGCATTGGCTAATACCTCTAGTGCAGTGATAAGTAGTAGCAGAAATAGTGGGCATTCTTACCTTGTTCTAGGGGTAAGGTCCCTTTTGTTTTTCCATTAATTAAGATAATGTTTTAGAGTAAATATTTATTTTATCATATTTAGAAGGTACATTATACTCTTGGAAGTTTACCATGAATGGGTGGTGAATTTTGTCAAAATCTTTCTGATTTACTAATACTAGTATATGATATTAATAAATTTCTCAGCATTCAAAAAGTCTTTCATTTTAATGAATTTCACTTGGTCATGGTGTATTATTTTCTTAATGTGGTTTTGGAATCTGTTAGTATTTTGTTTAGAATTTATTGATTTTCATGAATGATAATTGGCCCATAGTTTGCTTTGTACTGTCTTTACCTGGTTTAGATATTTGTATTATACGTGCTTCATAAGAAGATATAGTAATATTTCTTTCCTTTTCAATGCTCTGGAATAGTTTATACAGTGTTAGTACTCGGTGGTTTTGGAAGATTTAGTAGAACTCACTGTGAAACCATCCTGGTCAAGTGCTTTTCTAGTGGGATATTCCCTTAGGGATTTTGTTTCTTTTATGGTCATTGGTATGTCTGAAGCTAAGTTGAATGATGTCAGCGTTGGTAATCTGTATTTTCCTAGGAAATTGCCTAATTCATCTAGTGTAGAGGTCAACAAAGTCATCTTATGATTTAAAAAAATGTTTTCTGAATCTGTGTCATCACCTTTTTTTTGTATATTTGCCTTTCCTTTTTCTGAATCAAATGAGTGGTTTATTTGTTAAAAAAAAAAAAAGTGGAATTTTGACTGGTTAGATTGATTGCTTTTCTGTGTTCCTCATTAATTTCTTTTTTTTCCCCAAGCAAAAACAAACCAAAAATACCTTAATTTCAGCCTAACAGCACCAGGTGCAATGTCTGGGGACAGATAAGGTACAATGCTGTGTGACCACTCACATATACAGCTCTAAGAAGGCTCCAGAGGGGAACTTCCCTCCAGGGGGCTGAACCAAGGGGAGGAGGGGAGTCCCCAAGGAGCTGTGGACAGGCATGGGGAAAAGGCGCTACTTCTTGACAAAGGAGATCTTTGTGGGGTAGTTCTGGGTGATCTTGAACCCCTCTAGGGAGTCTCCAAGGGCCCCTGCCTGTACCCTATTGTCAGACTCCACAAAGGCCATGTCATGCTGCCCTAGGACCAGCCAGACCTTGAAGACAGAGAACTGGTTGAAACACATGGACAGCATGAACTTGTTGGTCTCTGGCAGGTTGCTGAGGAACAAGAGGTGATTTAGTGGGTTTTCTGCAAGAAGCTGGGTAGGTGGCATCTGACCTGGCATACACTGCGGGGGCAGTGGCTCCGGTGGGATCTCGCCATGTTAGAGACCTGGAGATGGGATCATGCCAGGGGACAGCATGTGGGGAGGCTGGTCCCAAATGTGTGCACGATGCGGGGCACCTGAGTCATGGCCCCATGCCCAGGACAGGCCCTGGGACAGCCCCCACGATGAGACTGACTGCCCTACCCTGTGCCACTTTCTTAGCAGCTGGGGTCTCCTGGCTCTTGGGTTCCCTCTTCTCCCACTTCTAGTCCTGCTCCACAAAGGTGCCCTTCATCTCGGCAATGATATCCGAGTCGGTATTGGCATACGGGGGCGCATGGGTTTGTTGTAGAAAGGGACGCCTGCATGGAGCGCAGGGCCCTGGTGCTGCTGTCCTTTTTGAAGATGACAAGTGCTGGGCCCTCATCTTCAGGCTCTGTGACAGGATATTCAGAATCTGGCCAAACTGGGAGAAGAGAGTGTACAAGGACTTCTTCAGCTCATTCTTCCTGATCTTCTCATTGAGGTTGTTGATATAAACAGTAAGGCTGGGGCAGGTCTGAGGAACTTCCATGAAGGGAGGTGTCATGGTAACAGAGCCACAAGTCTGGCAAGTGGCTTCTCGGTGCTCAGCACCTTCCTCGTTAATTTCTGCTTTTATCTCCATTTTCTCTTTATGCTTTCTTTTGGTTTATT